TTTTGCCACCGTCCTCACAGCGGGGTAAGTCGGCTCTGATAGGTTGAGTTCAGCTACGCTATTCGCGTAGCTGAATTTGCGTATCTTAAATCGACCCCCCCCCCGTAGTGAAGACCTGCCCTGAGTCGCAAGACTGAGGTCCCAGTTATGCTGGTACGCCCTGAATATGATATTTGGATATTGGACTATAACCTATGAACTATTTATGAAAGAACTCTTTGCAACTACAAAGCTCACCATCTGCTATGAATCTGCACCTCAATGAATTGAACTCATGTCTGTATGTATATTGATCTTTTAACCATACTCTTGTTATTTTTAATCAATTTTAGTTGTTAAAAATTGGCTGTAACATGTATTTGGGTAAGATCTGGAATATTCAATAACCTGGGAGGTAATGTGTCCGATCCTTTGGGATTGGTAGACCCTTTTCTTTTATATGATGACATAAGATTTTCAGATATCCTCATATTTGACTTGGGTACCTGGATGGAGGCCTGAGGCTGGAACACTTCAAGAGAACTGTGTTTGGATTTCTGCGTAACCAGTAAGGTAATAAAGAAGCTGTTTTATGCTGGCTTGGTAAATCTAAATATTGGAATATCCACCAGCTTTGGGGGGTTTGGCTGCCCCGTTCTTTGCAGTTCACCCTAATTGAGTGACCACAGCTGGCACCACTGGGACCCTGGTCGCAATGTGTCTGTGGATCCTGCTGTAGGTGACTGACAAGCAGTACCCTCACCAGACGGTGAGAGTGAGGAATCTTGGCTGTAGCTGTCAAACAGGGATTGAGGTACTGCTTTTTGAACTCTGTATTTGTTCTGGCTGCCATATCAAGTGCACAGTGTTCCACGAAGGTCAGTGACTTGCTGCATATGGCTGCCTTACAGATCTCTCCGAGATCAGTATATTTCTAACGCAGGCTGAAGAAGTCACCTGGGCCCTGGTATAGCATTTCTTGACACTTTGGGGAGAGGCTTTCCAGTCAACTGATAGCAGATTACACAGTGCATTTCCACTGCTTTGAGATACTCTGGGGCTAGATGACATGGCATTTCTGCACACCAGGTATATGGGCACAAAGAGACCAAGGTAGAAGTCCTGAAAGATTTTGTCCTTGTAATAAAGCAGGGCCCTGGACACACATGAAGCTTCTTTACTGACGAGTGCAGCTGAGGGAAGACTACCCATAGAGTAATAGACTGCTTCACAGGGAATTCTGAGAACACTTTAGGGATGAATCTAGGGTGCAGTTTAATCACCACTTTGTCATCATGGAAGGATATATGTTGCTGTCCTGCCAGGAGAGCTTGCAGTTCTCACTCTCCATGTTGGCGTGATGGCTATGAGAAACACTTGTAATGGTGAAGTGGTATAACAACCATTACATTAACTGTTTGAATTGAGGCTCCATGAGCTGTAGAACAACATCAAGCTTCTGTGGTGGGAGCAGGGTCTCTAACCATAGAGCAGGTATGGAGAAGGCCCTTGAAGAATCTCAATACCATGGAATGTGAAAAGATTGAATATGACTGTATTAGGTGTGGCATGCTGATATTGCTGCCAGATGGACTTTAGCTCCATCTAAAAGGCTAGCCTGCATGCTTCAGCAGCAGTGTGTGCAGTCCAGAATCTTTGGTATTGGGGCCTCTACTGGCTTCACATTGAGTTCACACTGACTTGCCTGAATGGAAAGTCTTTTTCCACTTCAAGAATTAAGGCTTCCTAGTGGAGGGTTTGACTGTGTAAAACAGTCTCTTGGACCTCTAGGGAGTAATTTCTAGCAGTCCTGCTCAACCAGCTGACATCTAGGCCATGGATCAGCAACCTGTGGCACGCGAGCTGATTTTCAGTGGCACTCTGCTGCCGGCCTGGGATTCCATCTGTAAATGGCTTTCCGTTTTTTTTTGCAGTGCACTGTGCAATCTTGTAACTTCCTTCTGTAGCTTTGGCTGTAACACCCGATCTAATTTCAGTTGCTGATGACTTATGACATGCAGGAGACCAGGCTAAATAAGCTGGTGGTCCCGTCCGGCCCTGGACTCTCTGGCTTATCTGGCCCCCATCACTGCAGTAGCTGAGCAATTCACTATTTTTAAGACACTTACTCTCCCGGCAGCCATGCAGGGCAGGTCAGTTCCCATTGTACAGAGGGAAAACTAAGGCACAAAGGAGACATCCACACTGTGATAAAAAACTCGCTGCACCAAGTCTCAGCCTGGGTCAGCTGACTCAGGCTTGCAGGGCTAAAATTAGCAATATAGATTGAATGCAAGACCCTTTCTGGGATCTCAGAGGCTGAGCATCTACATCACTCTTTTCAGCCCTGCGAGCCAGAGCCAGCTGCTGCCCATTTATTGCAACACAGACATATCCAAACAGGCTGAGTGACTGGCCCAAGGTCTCACAGGAAGCCTGTAGCAGAGGAAGGCAGGGGTGATGAGTTGTATGGGCCTGTGGTGCCTTGGCTCCAGGAATATTCAGGGTCTGGGGGCCCAGCTCCACCAGTGTTCAGAGAGGTTAACAACTGATCACTCAGAAGCTGGTGTGCAGCTTAAAGTATCCAAATATGTGCCAGACATTGAAAACTCAGCAAGGAAAAGCACGGGCAAGGATCACACTAAACTGATAAGATCTGCATTTTAATTTAATTTTAAATGAAGCTTCTTAAACATTTTAAAAACCTTAATTACTTTACATTCAATAATAGTTTAGTTACATAATATAGACTTATAGAAAGAGACCTTCTAAAAACATTAAAATGTATTAATGGCACACAAAACCTTAAATTACAGTGAATAAATGAAGACTTGGCACACTACTTCTGAAAGGCTGCCGACCCCTGATCTAGGCCATCAGAAGCGATAATTGGATCTGGGAGCAATATTTGACCATAGTTTTATGAAAACATCTGAACAGGTGGGAAGGCATATGGGGAAATGGCTGAGCATATGTTGGTCTGGTAGCCAAAATTGTCTCTGCCAGTAGTGGGCTATCATGATGATCATAGCTTGGCTATCATCCTGGAGATCGGTGGGAAGATTTACTTTGGTGGTGTCAAGGACTGCTGTACAAGGCACCTAGAAGAGAGCCAGAGCTCATATCTCCTTTGGAGCAGAAATTCCTGCACTTGGCATTGTCTGCCATGGCAAACAGTCTATCGTGGGAGTTGTGTATCAATGGAATATCAGTTCCAGGCTGGATTTCTTCAGTGACTGCTGATGGCTGGTTGCCACATTCCTGTTCAGAAAGTCCACCAGGTTGTTGCTGACCTCTAGTAAGTGCAGAGCTATCTTAGTCACTCCATGCTGACTGCACCATTTCCAGAACTCTAGCCTCCCCTGTAGAAAGGGGATGATGATGATGAAGTGCATCCTTGCCCACAGTGAATCAAGTACTTCCTGTGGACCGAATGGATGGTGATATGCAAATTGGAGCAGTGACCTAGTTTGGAGTGATGGGATGATGGAGGCAAGCATTACCATCCTGAACCTGTGATGCTGTATATATTTGAGTCTGCTGAGGTCTATAGGCTGATGCCCCCTTTATTTCCTCTAGATAAAGGACTCGCCCTAGGTACAACAAAGGATTTCCTTGTCTGGTACTCTGTGATAAAACTGGGTATGCAATCTCTGGTGTGTGGTGGTTGAGGGTATGCCTTTCAATAGGGTGGAAGAGCATAGATTCCCGAAGAGCATAGGGTCACTGTGGAATCTTTCAGTGACTATAAGTAGGGGGGTCTCATAAAATTGCAGAGAAATCACACAGTTTTTGCAGGTTGGTCGTGGCATAAATAGCATATTTCAAGGATGTGTTACACCCTTATTTCTGTGTTGCAGTGGCATGCCTTCAGACCTGCATGCCCAGGCAGCAGCTGCCACTATCTGCTCGGCTTTCAGAGCTGGGTGGCCCTAGACCATATTTCACAGGGGAAATCAGACTTCCCAGCTGTGAATTTGGTAATGCCTTATACTTAGGGGCCTCAGTCCATTTGCTGAACAGCTACCAACACTTGAAGGGTCAATTCCTAAGTTGTGGCTTCTACCTTGCAAGGGAATATCCCAAGATTTGGCATCTCAGTGCTCTTTGCACGATCACCATGATGATCATAGACTTGGCTGCCATCATAAAAACTGGCTTTTTATGATGTCTTGGCTCCTCTGCTTTTGTGAGGAAGCTTGGGCAGGAAGAATCTCTCTCTTTCTCTACCTATTTGGCCCACTGACTAGAAGCCACCCTCAATTGGAGTGAGGCTGCTTAAATATACCTGATCCTTCCAAACAGATCGCAGGCACAGGGCTCATGTGTGGCCCAGATGCACACTATTCAAATAAAATCCAGTGTTGCATGCATAAGGTGTATGCACACCTAGAGTGGAATCCACACTGGCACACACATGTATAATTTATAAATACACTTTTTTTTGATAACTTGGTCTGTTTGCACAAGTTTTCCTTCATAGATTCTTTTTTTTTTCCAGACTAATAATCTAAAATGCACACTTTTGGGGTTGAAACTTTCTATGCTTGGTCCCATACATTTTTTTTTTTCCTGGAAAGAGTAAGAAATATCCTTCCAGCTCTTCATTACAAGAGGCAAGAAGGCTGCATTTTATCCTTGAGAACATTACCATCGTTTCTGATATACAGAACTCAAAAAGGGATGAGCTTTAAAACTTCCTCTGAGAAGATGGATTATAAAATGAAGCCTGTGACAATCAAACAATAACAGTAGCAAAGTGGTGAACTCATCCTATAAAGCTAGTACAACTCATTGAGGTGAGTTCAACACCAAGCCTCATGTACAAATTTCAGTGCAATGGAATTTTAGCACTCTGCAGCTACACCTTGCCCACAGGGCCAGATACTACCCCCATTTATACACCCCACTAGTGTTAAATAGGCTGTAAATCAGATAAGAATTTAGTCTATTTTATTCTCTCCCCTACCCTTCTTGTGGCAAACCCAGTATTTTGGTTAAATACAAATGTGTTTTCTTACCAGTCTACTTTATCCTTAGGCCAGCCTTGCCCTCCCAGACCACAATAGCATCCATAACGTAGATAAGCAAAAGGAGAGCGTCCTGTGCTGCATTTAATGGCTCCAGCTAATTCAAGGATTCCTCTTCGATTCCTAGAATGGGTTTTTCCCAAAGCACCTTTAGAATCTAAAGAAAAAACAAGACACTTCACTCAGTATCTGAATAATCTTTGAGAATGTTCACTATGCACTTCAGTTATTTGAAACTGTTAATGTTGTCTTTACTCTGAGTGTTAGAGATTTTTAATGTTTAAATGCTGCTTTTTTTTACCATACTAAGAGCGCAGTAAAGTGGTAATCTCATGCTTCCTATAGAGGCCTTGTGTTAAGGTTTAGTGCTAAGACTATGGTCATCTGGGTTTAATTGCCAGCTCTGCTACAGACTTCCTGTGTGATGTTGGGCACATAAGGCTTGCCGATACGAGTGGCAGGGTAGCAAGAGGTAGATTTACACCCCCATCTGGCACAAAGTGTTCTCATAGATGAGCCCATACTGTCTTTGCCTCAGTTCCCTCCTGTTGTGGAGGATACGTTAACTGAAAGTTTGTGAGGTGCTCAGATATAGGGTCAGAGGCCCAATAGAAGAAACTAGATGGCAAGTGGCCAGTATCTAGACTATTTAGGCCTGGTCTATGCTTAAAAATTAGGAAGGGTTTGGAGGGAACAGGAGGCCCCTGCTGGCAGGGAGCCTGGCCAGCACCTGAATGCTACTCTGCCTGCCAGAAGCCATGGCAGCTCCTCCTGGGGCTGTGGACTAACGAGAAGTCTTGATCCAGCAGGCTTTTGGGGGTGAAGGTGCAAGCTGGGCTGTTTCTGTCTGGCCTGGCAGGGAGCTGCAGTATGGGGGGAGCCAGTGCCACTGCTGGGACCCCTGGCAGGGGAGAAGTAGGACTGGATGTGGGGCAGGGAGGGTTTCTTTCCTGGGTTTCTAATTGTTCTAATAATTACCCTGAGCTAAGGACACAATTATAACTTGCAGTGTTACTATAATGGTATACATGCCCTGTACAAGACTCTTGCATAATCGTGTATAGTGTGCATACAGGTGTAAAAACACAGTGGTGAGTTAGTTCAGTGTAAGAAGACTAAAGTGAAATGGGTGGTAAGAATTAGTTGGGGATACCAGCTTGGCCCCCCAGCCTTTTGGGGAGGGCAGTGATCCCAAAGGGCTGGCCCCCCCTTATTTTTTTATTGCAAAAATAGACCTCCACTACAATATGTCTAGATGTCATTAGGAACTTTTTTACATACCACTCAGTTATAAGTAACAAGAGCTGCATTGTTCATTGGACTAGAGTCCTCTGCATTCTTAAATAAAATTGGGTCATGTAGTGGGGAGGATATGTTGGCTTTAAATTCCATTGTATAATCTATGACAGATTATCTGTCATTATAACAGAAGTAATAGTGGTCATACTTAGACTTCAAAGGAAGACTATAAATGACCCTTAGATGAGAGGATTGGAATAGAGTTTGACTGACACTTATGACCTCAAGCAGTGGGATGTTGGAATATAGGCAGTGCCCATTATAATTGAAGAGACAGAGCTAGAATGCTGGAACTGCAATCTCCAATTTACCAGGACTGTAATTATAAGATTTAACCTACCTAACTTGGCTTTTACCTATCCTGTATACAAGACAATTCATTTATTTGATTTACTAATACACTAAAACACTTCCAAACCGGAGTAGTGCTGTAACCCAGTGTGCCAGGTTGCGACACCCAGATCAGGGAGCCAGCCCAAGGGACGTGAATTGCTGCTGCAGCGTGAAGCCGGTCCCGCCTCCCTCCCTCCCCTGACCTCCTCTCTGCACCATGCTGCAATTAGGGTTGTGCTGGAGCAGAGGGTGCTGCTGGAGATGGTCTGTGCCCCTCAGCAGGGTGAGGAGGAGGAAGTGGCAGTAGAGTTCACCCATTGAACCAGAAGGTTTCATCAGCTACAGGAAAAAATTTTTTATCTACACTGAGGTCTGAGGTGCATAACTTTATAAAATCGTGATGCATAACTAAAGAAATGTACAGGCAGGGGTGGCTCTATGTATTTTGCCGCCCCAAGCACAGCAGTCTGGCAGCCTTCGGCGGTGCGCCTGCGGGAGGTGTGCTGGTAACACGGATTCAGCGGCATGCCTGTGGGAGATCCGCCGTACCCGCAGGCAGCCTGACTGCCGCCCTCACGGTGGCAGGCCCGCCCCCCCCCCCCCGCCCCGTCGGCTTGCTGCCCCAGGCACACGCTTAGTGTGCTGGTGCCTGGAGCCGCCCCTGTGTACAGGAGCCCATTAGAACACTGCCTATTCTTAAGACTGCTTGACACTTCCCACTATAAGACCCTGTCTTCAGTTCCTTACAACTTTTGCCAAATTTTAACCCTTTGGGCTGAAATTTTCCATATTGGGGTCACTCACACACAATTTTGTAGTAAACATTTGAGCCACAATAGTTCAGCCACTTCAGAGATCAAGGCTATAGGAAAATGTTGTTTTGCAATGTTTAAAAAAAATTCTGATGAACTTTTCTCTGAAAATCTCTGACCCCCTTGTTTTAGAGCAGGGATTAGTAATTTGGCAAGGGGGGGCCTTTATGTCAGGGATATGCCTTTTTACTTCTCTATGAAAATCTGTCTGAATTGGCCAAGTTACATACTTCTGAAAACTCTGTTTGTACATGCCTAGTAGAGACTTCATATGCTATCACTTCAATTTTTTGTCAAGATTCAATGCATGCTTAGCTTAACAGCTCCTGGTACTGCCAGATTGTGAATGTGCTGTCTCCATAGAGTGACTGAGCATGCTACTCCAGCCTGAGGCTTCTGGAGAAGTTGAACCTTCTCTGTAATTGTTGCTCATGAGTGGGCTTGGCTGGGTGATGAGCACCATAACTGAGAGGAGAGAGCCTGTCTCTCCTATGCTCTCAATGCCCCCCCTGCAGAAGCCCAGGCAGCATAAAGAAGGAAGCCATCTGACTTGAATGCAGAGGGGACAAGAGCCAGACTTGAGACTGGATGTGTGTGTGTTTGGGGGGGGGGGGACAGGGGGGCTTGGGACAAGGAGCCTAGTAGAACCTTCCAGTCCCATTGTGCATTTGCATTATGATAGTATGTGATCATGTACTTAGACTCTTTTCCACAAGACCCCTGCCTCATTCAGGGCGCAGGCTGGAGTCCATAATGTAGAGTCACGCTATAATGAAGGAGACTGGCTATAGCATCCCTGATTCATTTGTTGCAGAAATTGGAAGGGGTGTAGTGAATCAGGCAGGGGATTGCAGGAAGAGAAAGGACTATCTCATGGTTAAGGTAGTTAAATGCTTCTCCGGAGAATTGAATTTTCTATGCCTGCTTCTGCCACAGAGTTCCTAGGGCAGGAAAGTCACTCAAACTGAACTTCTCATAGGTGGTCATTAACACTGCTCCATATTTTGTGGGTGCCCAACTTGATTCCCTTGGTCTGCTTTGCAGAAGTCCTGAGCACTCAGTTGCAAGTGAAGTTAATGGGAGCTGTGCTTTGAACAACTGAAATGCTATATAATGCTAAGTATTTGGGAAAATCAGATCCTAGATGTCTCAAGTGTGGAATCTAAACCCATTGATACTTTAGACCTCTCTCGCTCTCTCTGCCTCCATTCCCCATCATGAGGTGTTTGTGGAAAATAAAATCATTAATGTTTGTAAAACACTCATGCTATATTAAAGAGTACCACAGACAACCCCAGGCTAAAAGTGAACATGGAATTATTAGAGCAGGGTTTGAATAGCGTGCAGTAAATTGAGCAATAAGGAGAAAATAAAATATTGAATAACCGTTCATTAAGTGACTACTGCTCCTTCTGGGCAATGAACATGGGAGGGGTCCTGTGGAAAAATAGTATGTAATTAAAGACTATATCATAATATGCCCACATAAGGGGGCTGACTTAATGTGGTACAAGTAATCTTGATTCTGGCATTTCCTAATCTTTGAGTGTTTTGACTTTGCATCTTCATATTTTGAATAGTTTTATATATACTCCGTATGAGCTATGCACAAATGTGTCGGCTTGCAATATATATTTTGTCGGGATCTGCAATCTTTAGTTTAAAGTATTGTGTTATGTAAATCTTTTGCATATACCACTGATGCTTTTTACAGTCTTTTGTATTTCTTTAAAAAAAAACCTACTTTATATTTGCAACATTATGGTTACAATTAACCACCCAGAAGTCAAGAAACTGAAAAGCTGTGAGTGCCAACTGTACCGTGTCCGTATTGCAAATATTCTCTCTGAAGTTGTAGATTATTTTTCAATTACTGCTTGGACCATCCATTTCTCATTTGTCTGAATTATACGTTGCCCAACTATTTTCTATAACTCCTTGAACTGGTTATTTCTTTTTGAAATAACACAAATTATCGTGCTTTACCCTCACCCCTTTCCTACCCCCAAAAAGCGGCGCCTCCTGGCCCAGAATAATATTTGAAAGTGTCAAGCGATTATAACAGCGCAACCCCCAGTGTACGTAGGAACCCGTCCAGCACAGGATTTGTGTTGAATTCAATAGAATACAGCCTCGCTCTGGGCTGGGGCGCTGCCTAGAGGAGCCTGTAGAACTGTAATAAGACCGAAGTGATTTCTCCCACTCTCCCCCTGAACTTTTCACTCTGGCTTCCCTCTCTCCGCTCTGCGGGGATCCCTCTAACTTGTTTCAGACCAATGGGCCGCAGGCAGCTCCCCCTGTGTTCGGGGCAGTTAAAGCTGCCCCGCGGTTTCTCCACTCACCCGTCGGAAGCAGGAGCAGCAGAGGCAGCAACAACGCCAGGCGCCGGGGTCCCATGAGGAGCGCCGCGGAGTCGCGCCGGTGGCCGGCAGCCGGTGGTGAGTCGCTGCGCTTCTGTCTCCCTGGCGCTCAGCCTGCGTGCCTGGCTCGCGGTCCCTGCAGCGCTGCTGCGCACAGAGAGCGGTGGGTGGGTGAGAACAGCATCTGCTGCCTATAAAGGGTTGCCCTCAGTCTGCCCCCTGTTCTTCACGTCCCCGGGGCGCAGCACGGGAGGCCCTTGGGGAGGGGCGCCTGCTGCTGCTGCGAGATTCAAGGAAAAGACTTGTGCTGGTACCATTCACTTGGGTAGCAAGAGAACTGAGCTCCGTGGCCAGACTGCCGGCTCCTAGAGCCCTGCTCCTGAGGGACAGTCCGCTCTTGCAGCTGTAGTGTAGCTTGGCATTATTTCTGGAGACTTACTATTCATCGTCACTGTAATAATTCCACAAATGCTCAAAGTAAACCCCCCAGGACAAGAGCATAAAATCTTGTCAGTATCACAAAATGCAGGGGACAAATATTAAAACCTCTACATGCATCAATTCTGTGTGCAGTCAGATACTCTGCTCTCTGCTGTAGGCTCCTACTTATCCTCACTCACTCTCCAGCCACCAAAAGGATTTGGGGCTGAGGGAGAATAGGGATTTTAAGGAACTGAGTCTATTCTTCTATTATTTATTGTGGCACTGCCTAAAGTCCACAAACAGAGATTAGAATCCATTTATACTCCGCACTCTACAAAGCAAGAGTGTAAAGAGAGTCCCTTCCCGAGAGAGCTAGCAATCTAGGGTTTAGACAGTATGCAACAGGTGAACATGTTCCAAAAGCAGTTCCAGATTCATAATTTAAGGCAGAAGGGTCATTACAACCATCTAATCTGACCATTTCCATAATAGACTTCACTTAGTGATGTCTGCATCAAGCTCATTCCTTCTGTTTTGAGCTATAACATATATTTTAGAAAGACTTCAAGTGGTAGTGAATCCTCCAGGTCCCTAGGTAAGTGGTTAATTATCTTCACTGTTAAAAATGTGCAACTTATTTCTAGCCTGAATTTGTCTAGTTTCAGCTTTCAACCACTTGATCACACTACGATTTTTCTGCAAGATTAAAGAGCAATCTATCAGAAATCTTCCCCTCCCCACCCCCAACAGGTACTTGTAGGCTAACCTTTTCTTGAATAGACCAGATTGACTTTTGTAAATCTCTCACTACAAGGCATGTTTTCTCAGACCTCAAATCATTCTTGTCTCTTTTCTAAACCCTTTCCAATTTTTCATTCTTTTTCAAGTGTGGACACCAGAATGGGATTCAGTATTCCAATTCAATCGTAAAAAAAACAAACCCCAAACCTGTTAATGCAGAGTTCAGGTTGCTTGGTGGTGTCATTCCTTTGCACACATATACCTTTACTCTACCAACCCTACAGCTGCTGAAATATACAAACTCTTCACTGCTTTTTGCAATCACTCACTTCTCACCCATAGGATTTAATCTAACACTATTAAAGGACAAAAAGGGGGGGGGAAAGTTGCCCACACCACCTTCCTGCTACTCTCTTTGAGCAATGCCTAAATTTGCACACAGATTTTTCTCAAATAACCAATCCAAGGCTTGCCTACTACCTGTCCTCATTTCCCAACCTCTCTGTAGCTGCACCCCTCTCCTCCCTGTCCCCTCCCCCTGTTCTTCCCACCCCTGTCCTCTGGCTCCTCCCCACAGGATATAATACATTTTGGTTAGATCAGCTGCAGACTATTCTGCTGAGTTCACAGTAAGCCTCACCCATAAAAAAAAAAATCATGTTGTAATTGAGAACTTGGATGAAGCAACATGAATTATTAAATCTTTATCTTCCAGGTGTCCAAAAGTTTGGACTAGAAATTTCAGTGGCAATGTGTTCACCAAGGGCAATGGTATTGGCACATTCCCATGAACTACCCAGGCAATCATAAAGTGGCTGCATAGAAACTCTCACTTTTTTTTGTTCTTTATTGCTGCATTCATACTGTAATCCTTCCAGACTACATGTCTAAGCAAGCAAAGCAGTGAACATATTCTTAAATATCATTCCCAATTTGGGTCCATCAAAGATTTAGTGGGTGTCATGCTCTACCTGGGGTAAAACTCAACAGATTGAGACCATTTTGACCTTCATTGCATCAATAGTTAGATCTCTAGCTCTGTGCAAAAATCCCCACCTAGAAACTTTTGGGGAAAAGGTGGTGGTGTTTTTTCTTCAGAATTTATATGGTCACAGCCCCTATCTCAAATTACCCCAAATAAGCTGTGACACACTCAGATGTTCTATGGATCAGAAAAAGAAGAAAGATACATAACCCAACACTGACCATAGCACAGTGTGTTGCTTAGCTCTGGCCTACACTAAAGACCTATATCAGTATAAATTAACTATGTTGCTCGGGGTGTGAAAAATCCACACCACTGAGCAATGTAGTTATACTAGCCTAACCCCCTGCCTAGACAGTGCGATGTCGGCAGGAGAACTTCTCTCACCAAGATAGTCCACCTTCCCAAGAGGCAGAAGTTAACAACCCTGACGGGAGAGTTGTCTCCCATCAGTGTAGAGCATCTTCATTAAAATGTCACAGTGGCACAGTTGCACTGATGCAGCTGCGCCAATGCAGCATTTTAAGTGTAGACTTGCCCTTAAGCTCTTCAGAACAGGGACCATCTTTCTCTGTGTTTGGAAAACACCTCACACCTTTTGGGTGTTGCTGTAATATAAACAATATTTTAAAATAAATTATACACCACCTGTAATTATGAAAGGTCTAGGCCTCTATTTCTTTGCAACACAGAAATTTATCACCAATTGATGGATTAAGGGCACATTTCTGACCTTGAGACTAAGCAAGACAACACTGATAGGAATCCTATTCCTTTAAAAATGATCAGCCATGGATGACAACATGGACATCCTGGACTTTGGTGAGCCTTGGGGGCTGTTTGTAGACTCCTAGCTCGAAATAGCACTGGATATGGTGACTTGTCCCCACATATCTTGTAAATATTATGGTACTCGGGGCTGATAATTCATAGCACTTACTGAGTACATTAAAGCTTCAAAGAGAGGTACAGACATTGCATAAGATTGCCATTGTGCAGATTGGGAAAACTGTGTCATTTGTTTGGTGGCCTAAACAGGCACTGGTCATTCTTTGTTCTGTATGCCATACACATGGTCTGACACAAGTATACACAGAGTTGAAAAGGAAATTGTTCCCAATGGTTATATGGGGTTTGAGTATAATGGGGAGAAATTTAAGAAAGGTTTAGTCAACTGGGTAGAATATGGGACTGGGAACCAACAGGGTATCTGGCTTCCATTACAAGCTTTTGCCATTGGCTTCTTGTGTGAGTTTGGACAAGTTACTTCTGTGTGGGGGTAAAATGGGGATATTCTATACTGTTTTAAGTTCATAGACGTGCTGTGAGGCTTCAATAACAGTTGCAAAGTGCTTTATAATCCTTACTTGAAAGGTCCTTGTGATGTTTTCTTGGGGTGCCCAGGACTGAGAGTCACTTTCTTACCCCCAGTCTCCAGTGAGAGAGACTTGCTGGTGCTTAACTGGGTGTCAGCTCCCTGAGAACACCAGCCTGTTAGCTACCCAAACAATCTCCTCAGGTTCATGCCAGCCCTCGCTTTGCTTTGCAAGTTAACAGTAGGTGGACCCCAGTCCCTAAGATCTTTGATATCCATTCCTGTCACTGGCTACTCTCAGAAATACCAGGTTTCCTGTCGCCAAGGGTACAATATACACACCAGGTTTGTTTGATTCGGCTGAGGATCAGCTCCTGCATAACTCCACGGCACTGACTTCTATTAGAGTGAAAACCAAGGGGTTAAAATTTAAGCGATAGCAAATAAGGATAATGGAAGCAGAAAAGTTGCCCACAAAACAAAATCAGTACATGCTTGCTAGCCTGTTAAAGTTAAGTTTAGTATCAGTCTAAAACAGTCTTCTCTCACCCAAAGCCACCTTGCAGCATTTCCAACCAAGGTTGGTTGGAGTCCTGTTTTCATTAACGTAATCATAGTGCCTGATTGATTCTTGAGGTGCAGGATAAAGATGTGTCTTTTTGCCTTTCCCTTAGATTCCCCCAAATCATTGTTTCACCAGAGTCAAGATGACCTTCATGTGGTTTATTCCCTGTAGACTTCACATCCTTATGTTGACTTTGTATGCAAACAGGCTTGCATGGTGTTGCTTACAATGCTTAACTTACACGTGAACCAAGGCAGACAGGTGAATGTACATTCTTTGTCTGGAAAAATCTTTTGTCAGTCCTGCCCTGATTTAGACTTTAGAAACACGTGTGTGTGTGTGTGTGTACACACTTTTATTAGTGACCCAGGCTTTTATTAGATGCTTTTTGGATAAATATTAAAGCAGTGTGTCAGGTGTAGTGAATTTGTCAGAACTGTTAGGAGTTGCTGTTAAAGAATCACCAACCCTTTGCCACTTGGCATTGAAGAGTTCTTAGGGTCACAGTGCTGTACAAGTTCAAAATATTCTCTGACCCCTTACTGACCTTGATGGCCCACATCCCCAGTCCCCCCCCCATGCCCTGACTCCTGCATTCCCCCCCCCCACATCCCCACTCCCACCCTGAGCAACAAACAGAGCTCTTGCACCCCCCACACATTTGCACCTGCACCGCTCACACCAAATGGGAGCTGCCCCAGATAAGCATTCCATACCCCAACCCTGAGCCCCCTCCCTCATCCTAGCTCCTGGCCAGACCCTATACCTCCACCCCCCAGCCTGCTCCTGCACCCTAACTCCCTCCCAGACCCTGCACCCCCAACCCTGTGCTCAGTGCACCCCCAAGCCTGTGCTCAGTGCAGAGAGAGACAGAAATAGGCTAGAACCAGGGAGAAGGTAGGTACCTGCTCTATGTGGGCAGGGGTGGGAGGGATCCTGTTTACCCCCTCTCCAGCTCTGCTGTGCTTGCAGTTTACCCCTGGCCCGGCCCCTCCTTTGCTCCAGGGACAAACCCTAGCTCCCGCCCCACTGTGATCTTGCCCCTGGCCTCTGCCTTGCTCCAGCTGGGGACCAATCCTTCTCCCTGCCCCT